TATTCTATTCTATTCTATTCTATTCTATTCTATTCTATTCTATTCTATTCTATTCTATTCTATCATTTACAATACATTTATCACATACCCAGAAGTTTATCACAATTAGTGCAGCAACATTATTAAAACCAAACCTTAGAAATCAAGAACACAATATTAAATATCTGCAAATCTAAAACTTCATTAAAACATTATCTAAGAGCAGTATGTCACACCCTGAAAAAGCCAATTCAGCACAAATGGCATTGTGATTCTTCAACAGAATGCTTTAACTAAAACAAAAATAACTATTAGAGGTAAAACAGCTACTGAAGACCCAAACTGAATGACACAATAACATCAATAGCTTGTTGAAGAGAAACTTGACAAAACATTGTCACTACAGCTTAATATAGAAAGACCAAATGATCTGAAAATCAAGCAAGCTAAATATTTTTAAAGTTATGTTTTATCATGCTCAGAATTCAGACTAAAATGTTGTAGTCCAATTTATTTTGATGAGACTTTGTACTCAATTAACTACAATTTATTTACTGACTATCATATACTTAAAGTAAGCTAATCCAAGAATTATAATAGAATGATGAAAAAGTTTTTAAAAAGCAGTATTTGTTTAATCACTAAATTTACTATGAAGTAGGACAGTCATATGTTGATATAGAAGGAATAATAACTACAAAATACTTTCTAGTGATTTTAACTCTTCATGTCACAATGTTTAACGATCACTCCAATCTGAAATCTCAGGTTGCATTTTGTCTCTTGAACTCTTCAATGAATCCCCAGAGTTGTAAAATTGCCATTCTCCTGTGACTGATGTGAAAATATTAAATCCATTTTGAATAATTCAGCATTTAACTAATTTCACAACACTGAAATGATTTTTTTTTTCTCCTAGTCTTTATACCCTTTTGGAGCGAGGCATCAAGAACCTAATTCAAAGGCCAAATGCAGAACTTAATTCTCTAAAAGTTCTTTGAAAGTTCTAATTATGTAACATAAGTTTTGCATACAAAATATCCATGTTCAATTCCTATGCAATTTTGGAAAATCTTCTATCTGAAACTCAAAACAGTCATTAACGCAGATGATACTGAGTTAGGTAAACGAGTGATTTCACTTGGTACAAAGCAAGTTTCTTAATTCCTACTTAAACCTTCACCAATTTAGCTTCAACTCAGCTTCCTCTTTTAATCACCCACTATGACATGTTGAGCATGCATACATGCACAAAGGAAACGAAAGACCTGAGAAAAAGTAAAAGCATATAATGGAATATTATAATCAGACTGAGGATACTTACAATAATAACTCAGTTCAACTTCTTATTTCCTCAGCTCTTTTCCAACTGGTTTTTACAAGAGTTACTGTTTATTTTAAAATGCCAGAAGTTTATTTTTCCCCCTCTTCCCACCTCTCTCCATTTTTCATTTTATGTTGTCTTTTTCTGAATGTAAGCCTATGGACAAGGATTAACTTGTATTTACTATATCAGGCTAGTAGTTCTAAGTGTCTTTTTGCTGAACGCTATGGTAAAAAAATACTTTAAATAAATAAAAAAATATCAGGCAAACAATTCCAGAAAACACTTAACAATGTACTAGATCATATAATTGTTTACTTAATCAATCAATCACAACACATATCTGAGCAGTCTTAAGAAGATTTAGTCCACTTCTTCCTTTTCAGTGAACCTGCTGGATTTCATTGGACCAAAATATTTCACACTGAATTGAATTTAAGCTATTGTTTAAGGAAATGGGAGTGCAATTTCTACCCACTATCTTTGACAAATTTTATGCAGAATTTAACTGAATAAAATACAGCCAATAGCTATGGCAGTAGCTAAACTTTGGCACTGCTACCATCACAACACATCATTTTAGAACTACATCAATGTAAGTATAATTCAGCATTATCATCTAGATTTGTACCTGTGATGCCATTCAGGAGGTAAACAGTGACAATAAATACATACAGACGACAAAATATTGTCATCCTAATCTGCTTCATCAGGTTCATCAAAATAAGAAACAACAACTAGCAAATATATAGGGTCTATATGTGTTACCACTACCATAACTGAAGTGAGCTTTTTTTCCAAATATATTTACTGTCAACAGTACAACTGAAGTAAAAGTGAAGCCCAACAACAGATTAGATGTATTTTGCATACATAAGGTTCTTGGGATGCTGAATTTTAAATAAATTATGCCAATTATAGACCGATAGAAATAAGATGTTTATACTATCAGGAAAAGATGGGCAGATCAGTGGTATATACATTCTCTATATGCAGAGAGACAGAGCCCAACCTGTGTATCATCAATGAAGATAAAAAGATCTTAGCGTAGGAATAAAGGAGATCACTAAAATCTTTGTTGTTGCCAGTTAGGCTACGTAAGATTGAGCTATATGGACAAAGTAACTTGGCAGAAGGAAGCTTTCTATATTCCTACCTCCCTTGTCTGATTTTATCTCAGTTCTGTATTTTTTTATTAACTCAATATCAATGTTTATGAATATAATTTGTAACCAACAAGGCAACAGCCAGGAGATTTTATATTATTTTCCTTTTATTTTAAAGGATTTTTATTCAGAATTTTTATGGTTACAGTATACCAGTAGAAATTACTGTATTGTATGTTTATACAATAATATACATACATACTGTACTGTATGTTTTAATATTTTTGATTCATCTCTGGAACCTTATGACTGGTACATGACTGATTTTCAAATAAATAACTTTTAACACAATTAAAACGTAGCACCCTTTCCATGCAGCCTACAGAAAATGTTCACTGCTCACATATTGCTGTTTATAGACGGCAGGGGAAAAATAGTATAAACATCTGTGATTATAGCATTTTACTTTCAGTACCATGTTTAACATAACTGCTTAAAAGCTAGTATCAATGCTAATATAAAAGAACTGTCAGAAAACCGTGTACATCTCATAGCATTTATAAGAACTTATGTGTAGTCTATCTTATGTGTAATCTATCTACTGTGTTCATGCAAAGCCCATGAAATATACATCAATGAGTACACAAGTAATACAGCTAAATTATGCTGTGAGTAGATAGTGAAAAATAATTTATCAGTACTAGTAAATGAGCATATGCAAATAACAGCAGCATACTAAAAAGCTTTATGGTTAGTATCGTAATTATACTTAGAATTTTCAAAAAGCAATTCTTTTAGACTTTTGAATTCACTTACCTGCAGCATACTGACGATCTCGACTTTGTTAAAGAAAATGAATGAAGTAAGGGTAGAAAGGAAATTCTCTTCAAAAACAGATGGTGTTGGCAAGATGATGTCCTGAATGTATTGTACCCTGTAAGTCTGATGAATCTTTTGCCTAAGTTCAGAGTCTGTTATGGGTATAACCTCTTTAAATTTTGCGGTTTTGGTCAAAAATTCCCTATGCCTTTTTGGTTGAGCTAATGCAGGGTCATATTCAAGGCATCCCACAACATCCATAATGCACTCATCTGAGAACATCACCTCAAAAAGAGTTGCTTTATTGAGGAATAAAATTCCTCGAATAATTTCATACAAATGATGCAAGCCTTCAGTATTTTCTAGGTTCTCACAAAGTTGGAAAAGCTGTAATAATTTTTTAATATAGCCTTCATTCTCCAGTGCTAAGGCTAATTTTTCTCTACGAATGGGTGATGAGAGAACTGAGGTAACTAGGTCTGCGATTTCTTCGAGTTTGTTGAGTTCACAAGTAGGGAGATCAATCAAATGACTAGTTTCAGGCATTTCCTCAAAGCGTTCTTCTTCTGATTCATCAATGAGATCCTGTGTAACTTCTACAGAAGGATCCTTCCCTTGAACCTAAAATCAAAAACATTAATAATTATTGACTTATTCTGACATATATTAAAAATTTTGAAAGGCAAGGAAAAGGAAGTATGAAACTCAATGTTATTACCAAATATCTAAATCATATACCGTATTTGCCGGCGTATAAGACGACTTTTTTGCCCTGAAAAACATGCCTCCAAGTGGGGGGGTCGTCTTATACGCCGGTATATCCACTGCCGGCTTTCGGATGCTTGTTGGACGCAGCGAAGGCGCCTCTGGCTTCCCGGATCCCCTGCGTCGCTTCCGCTTCATCCCGCTCGCCTCGCTCCGCCCGAGGCTGCAGCCTTCCTGCTCTTCCCATGGCCCCTGGCACTCCACCCTGCCGCTGCAGCCCCGGGGATTTCTGGAGGGCGTTTCCGGTGGTGGTGGGGGGTCGTCTTATACGCCGGGTCGTCTTATACGCCGGCAAATACGGTATGTTAATACAGTTCTGACATTCTGTGAACTGTCAGTGAAATGGGACAGATGGGCTGCATACCAAATTTAGGTTGCTCTATCATGCCAGATGATGAAGGAGGAGGGAGGGAGGGAGGATGGAAGGAAGGGTATCTCTATAGACCATCACAGCTATCCACCTTTTCTGAGCAATATCAATGGTGTAAGTTAATGGTAATATTTGTAACTGATGTTATATAGCAGAATCACAGTCACTGCAAACCTCAAAATAATTTCATTGTAGAAGTATAAATGTAAAGCTGTCTTAAAATGGTATTTTAAATAATGCCACTAAAAAAAAATCACACAACAGCTAAACTAAAAAATAATTTTTGTAATTCGTACTATAAAAATTAAGATACCGTAGGTCGCTAGAATATTATTTCAACCACAAAGTTTTATGAAGAGTCAAATCTAAATTAAAAAAACAAAACCATTAAGAACTTTAAATGTAATCCTTACCTGGCAAATTTTTTCCCAGATTTCATCACAGCCAGCTTTTTCTTGAAAACTCAGAGCTAAATCATAATTTTCTGCTTCTGACCAAACAATCAAAGTGTCCTATTTTAAAATGGAATATTAAATTTATTATTTGACTCTACTGCAAAATGTAACATACAGCTAGGTTTATGGGTTAAAGAATAGCTTTCAGCCTCTAGGACAAAATGTAAGAGAACACTGGAAGAAGAGGGGAAGAGAGAGACTATCCACCACTACTGTATTTTCCCCATGACTAGCCATACAACTTTTCAAAAAACACATTTTATGTAGGATACATAACTCCTGATACACACACTACCACTCATTTATTAGAAGCTCTAGTCCACAGAAGCATCTTACTAGAAAGATGGCAAACAATACACTGTCTATTTTTATGGAAATATTTAGAAGTTCACTATTTAATTGCTATCATTTAATTCACCTGAACTGGATTTGCACATTATAATTAATCATTGTGATTTAAATATTATAATTTGGATTTCTATAACATGCAAAGCCAGAATTTTTAAAAATATCATAGTGTGCAAAGTCAAGCACACTTTGAGTAAATCAGGAGACAAAGATGTTTTCTTCACATTTCAATGAGTACTGCATTGTGATTTTAATTCATGTAAATACTGAGTAACAGAATGAAAGGATATTCAAGTCCTTCATCTGTCATATTCAGCATTCTTTTTTCAATCTGTAAACAACTACTCATAATAAGTATGAATTCAACTTTGAAGGAAGATAAAAGGCAAACTTAAAAACACTTTAGCATAGATTATCCTTCAAGGATTTTTATTAGTATAAAAGGGTTATAGTGAGGGGAATATACATACATATACAGTTAAAGGCAAATATAAATATGATCTTCTGTTAAAGGAAATGATAATCCATTCCAATATTCTGTCAAGGAAACCAAATAGACATTTATAATCAGGACAATGCCAAAATGAAACTGGAAGATTCAGAAATACAGTATCTAGATATAATACTGACATTCTGGAAATCAGTGAGCTGAACTAAACTGGGTCACTTCATCTCAGAAGGACGTCAGATATTTTATTGAACATTATAGAACAAATGGAGTAGTGAAAATTAACAAAAGATAACAAAGGTAGTGTTCAAACGTAACAAAATGACAGGATGATATCAATTTGAGTCCAAGGCAAATCAACTGCAATGATCCAAATCTATGTTTCAAACAAGAGGTAGAGAAGAAATGGAAGGGTTCTATGGTAATATGCAGCATTTTGCTAACATCAGACTAAAAGAGGAAGATGTCATATAGGAGAGTGGAATGCTAAATTAGAAATAAAATAGCAACTGGAATAATGGGAAATAATGGCTTTGGCATACAAGATAAAGCAGGAGACATACTATTAGGGAGCTGCCAAGAACATTTCAACAATCCAAAAGATAGCTTTATACATGGCACCACTTGGTTAAAAAGCTGGAGAGAATCAACTGATTCAGCAAAAACAAGACCTAATCTCACTGAAGCTCATATTTCAAATTACTTCTTGTAAAATTATAATTTAACTTAAAATAAAAGTTAAAGAATCAAACCCCAAAGATACCTTAATAATTTCACGTATGATTATGCATAGAATCTGAGTTAAATTAGTGATAAAGATGAAACAAATGAAAGTATCTCAAAATGCAAAAGGTCAGAAAAAGTAAGTCTGTTTATAGACATAATGAAAGTAGTCAAAGGGAGATGGAAAGCAAAAGGCAACAAAAACACTGGAAATTTTATGCAGTCTATGGAAGAATTTGCATAATATTCAAATCAGAACAGAATATTGGGAAACAGCATACCAAGGTTTATATTGTCACCTTGTTTATTTAACTTGCATGCAGAATGTAGCATTTCATTTTAAAGAGCATATTCAGGATTGTGGAATTTTTAGATGTCAGCAAAATTCTTTTGTGACCTCTTTCACTAGAAAACCATGAATATAGCATTGGAAATGACAGACTAGAAGAAATAGCAACTGAAATTAAAATTACTGGGAGAAATATGAACAACCTCATACATGTTGACAATGCTATGTGATGGCTGGAATTAAGAAAGACTTAAAAGAATTTGTTGAAAATTAACAGCAGTTTCAAAATTAATGCAGTTTAGTATTAAAAATCAGGAATCATGTGAAAAGGTTATACCAACCAGTGCAAATAACTAGAGAAATTGACATAGAACCAACTATTATCTTACTAGGCTCAAAAATTTACAGACATATTATGGCCAGGAAAAGAAAAAAAAGAACCTAGTTATTTGTTGATTGATACTGATTAAAACCTGGTCTATCAGAAAAGTCGAACCAAAAAAAGATGTATTTCAACTGTGGTGCTGTGGAAAACTCTTGAAAGTACCTTGTATCTGAGGAAAAACAAACAGCAAATAATTCAGAATTAGATGAACTAGATAAAATCAGATTGCTTGCTGGAAACACTAATAATATAGATTATATATTATTTAGATATTTTGGACATATAAGGTAGAAGTAAAAGTCACTTGAGAAGACGCTGAAAATCAAAGGCAATTGAAAAAGAGTCTGGCAGAAGAGGTGGTTTGATACTATCACTGATGACACAAGAACAAGGTCATCACTATTACAAGAAGCATTTACTGAGATAAAATCCCAGCAAAATTGTGTCCATTGGAATACAAAGAGTCAAAAATGATTAAATGAATCATCAACAACTACCGTTCAAACTATGTAATTGTGAATAGAAAGAAGCAGAAGGAGAGTGGTCTCTGATGAGATGGCCGAGACATAAATTTAATAAATAATAATTATAAATTTAATAAATAATAATTATAAATTTAATAAATTATGAATATTTTTAGGATAATTAAAATTGAAGCAACCCTATCCCCATATCTTAATAAGTATTTAACAAATTACATATCTTTATAGATTTTATCCAAATAAAAGCATCACTAACAATAGTAGTTATTTTCAAGTAACTATACTGCTACTTTTATTACTTAAGAGAACATTTTTAAATTAAGATTTTTTTTAAGAGCAAAAGGGAAATATATTCAATGACAAAAATTCAAAACTTAATTGGCAATCATTTTAATTCAACTGTTATATACCTAAAATTTAATTAGTATTTAATTATAAATGCTGCCTTGAGTTGAAAACATACAATATTTGTCCAACATACTGCAAAACAAAAACAAAAATTTTCTCAACTTTCTAGGAATATCATTATGTAAAAGTTAAACCTACCTTAAGGATAAAACTAGCTTTTATTTGTTGGGCTGTATCTTTGATCTCATTTGAGTATGATCGAAATTAGAAATTATAAAACTGAACATTTCTTACATTATAATAACATTTTGCTGCTAGATAGTTTATAAATTATTGGATGCAGTTACATTTTCTGATTTGTATGTTATATCTGAACATTCACCATACACTCTTATTTTAGATTAGAAAGATCTTCTCCATATACAAATGGTAGTTTATCTCTTAATTTTTCACTCTGAGGACCTGATCTGGTAAAAGGATCCTTTGATAATACTTGGGACATCTATTAAAAATATTTAACATCTTTAAGCAAAAATATGGTTTGCCGGTTTATAGTTTATCATCATCTGTGTATCCCCCTTGTAATTTATAAACCAAGATTCATGGCCTAACCTAATACATAAATAGCCACCTGTAACTTATTAATTTGAATAATAATTTTAACCATGGTTTATGGGCTGTACGAACTCAGCCAATACATTTTAGCTGAATTAATGTAAGAGTAAAAATAGTAAAGCGGTGGCTGATGTTTAGTTTTGAAGTTAATATCAAGCGCGTTCGATGGGAGATCTCTATTAAAGGGACCGTAGGCTAGGCTGAGACGTCAACAAAATATCCTGGAAAATGGTAACAGCAAACTACTTCTGTAATGCTGTGAAGAAAGCTACACAGATGTGCATGTGGAAGTCTTCACAGAATGAACTTGACTTGAAAGAATACCATTTTATGGAATCTGTTGAACATCTATTGCAATGAAAAAGGTATCATTAATGACTAGAATAAAATAAAAATACTTTGAGATTTGCACAAATTGCAATCCATGCAAGTCATCACCCCAAACTGTAACCAACTAGATACTTGGCAGCAAACTTTGAAGATTTATGGACATCCATATAGGCTGCAATAAATAGCTGAATAGTTGCATTCAGCATGGAGTAATATAATGTAAACTAGTACATTATAAAATAATTAATTAATGTATTGATAAAAAACAAAACACCAAATAATATTGTTAAAGCTGGACAGAAAACAGAAAACTAATGGCAGATAATTCAGCAAGGGTGCTGCCCAACATACAATTCTGTATACATCAAACAAGAAATTATAATAAAATCAATAAAACATAAAAATAAAAAGGTGGCAAGTCTGATGAAGCAAGCAGTTTTACTCTCCCTCACCAAAGATCTGGGTGAAGAGCCAGGTGTTCTTGGCTCTTCTAAACAGCAGTGTGAGCTATCTGAAACTCAGAAGCAGGGGCAGCCTTGTTTCAGAGGTCAAGCACTGCTGCAGAGGTGTGCTTCTAGGATCCCAAAATGTGAATGCAAAATATAGTATTTTCATATATTAATCTCCAAAATTTAATATACACATAGCCCTTGGTTTCCTTTTATCAGTATGTGAAGAACTAAGATTTTAATATATAACAAAACTCTAATAGATCATTCTGTAAATTATTCCAATGGTTAACACAGTTGCCAAATTAAAAAAAAAGTATTTAAAATCATAGTAACAATTGAAATATAGAAAAAAAATACATGCCTGTTGTTTTTGATACGCAGTGTTTGGATTTATCTTCGATTCCAATAAGAGTGAACCTGAAATGATGAAAAAATCCACCAAGAATTTAAGTAAATAAAAAGTCTTAGGCAACTTAATGATTATCCACTTTAAGGACTGTACTTTATTCTAAAACTTTTATTCAAACAGTGATCAAATCTGGAAATTTTAAGAAAATTTCAGTGTGCCTTTCTCAAGCTATACACAAGTCATTTATCTATGAAAAAATATATTATTTTTCTTTGATAGCTAACATACATTACAGCATATTTACAAAGCTAAATTATGTAATCCTGAATTTATGTATTATATAGTGTGTCTAAACAATCATGTTTCATGGCAACAGTTCTCAAGCAATCACTTCCAAGGTTCACAAGATTTATTTAGTACATTAGCACTTGTTCATTAACATCAATACATTTTCTTCTTCTAAAAACAGCTTTTCTAATTTTGAAAACAATCTATCATGGCTTTACCATAAAAATACTGAAACAAAAAAGGCACATCAGCACAAAATAATAAAGCAATAAAGAATTCTATTCTATTCTATTCTATTCTATTCTATTCTATTCTATTCTATTCTAAAATTTGATAGAAATGTTTATTTTCCTTTTCACCACCAACTACAGCTAAATTAATGACTAGAGGCAATTTTGAACATTTTGCTTTCTTGAAGTATAGTTTTAGGTCAGTTCTACTGAAATATTATGTCCTTAATTCAGACACAAAAATCAACTTTGGATAAAAGTTTAAAATTTAAGAATTCTAAGTACCCAACATTCCAAAAAATAGAAAATATAGTAACACAAAGTACAATTTTTTTCAAGAGGAAAAATTATAGTTTCTCACAGCACTCTAAAAAGTAACAATTAAAATAATTACGTTAAAAATTAAATGCCATAAATGTTACTACTTTCTTTGCTCCACACTAAATTCATTAAATTTCTGAAAATAAAGTTTAGATGTAAGATGATGGAAAATAAGCAAATCCCTGAAGAATACTGTAAAATTGAAAGAAAATATAAAAACTGGAGCGCTACTGAAAAAGTCCTCTCATCCAGGGCTTCAAGCTTCAGAGAAAACCAACCCAGAGTGCTGGGACATCTCTGAAAAACTAGTAGTATCTGAAAGTATAAATCTGTACTAAGAAAGGCCTATTAAAAAATCATTCGCCAGATCATCTTAATCCGTAACAATTACCACAGTTTACAGTCATGAAAGTTATGAAAGTTTCCTGGAAGTTAATATTTCCCACTCCTCACAACTCCTCACATTTAGTATCTTTTCCCCAAAGTCACCCAATTAACACTGACAGAGGAGTAACTTTTATAATCAACAATCAAATGAATCCCTTAAGCAGTCAGTAACGTTCCCTAACTATAACATGCATAAATTCAGGGACTATCAAGAAGGTGCTTAAAGGGTTTAGGGGTGGAAGCCTGTAACATTTGAGGTGAGGGGGTCCAATAACCTGACTCTACGATTTCGTCTAAATATAAAAGAGAGACTACATATGCGGGAAGAAATCCGTGGCCTCAGCCCAGGGTGTATGAGGTGGCGGTGGCGGAACTCTCCATGGGTTGTTTCCCATTCCCCTGGCTGGGCTCTATTGTCCCAGAGAGATTAGCAGCTGCCGCCATCCTCTGCCTGCCATTATCCTTCCCCTTTCTCACCGTCCGACTCGGCTCGGACGAGCAGCGACATCCCTTTGAGCCGCTCCACGTATGTGGACGAGACGTGTCCGGTGCCTCTGTCGTCCCATTGCCGCTCTTCGTTGAGCGTGTAGACCTTCACCCGCCGCCGGGTATCCGACATGGTGGGGCCCCGGCCCGATCGCAAGGGACGCGGAAGGACCGGCCGGGGGCTGAGAGCGTCACTCAGGAGGCCTTTAACTCGCCGCTTTTCATGACGTTCAGGTCGGAGCCGCCGCTCCTCTGCCTCAGCAGTACCAACTAGCAGCAGCAGCCACTAACGCCGCGGAATAGCCGCCATCTTGTAATCCGACTCCTGTCCCGTCCCTGCCTTTCTCTTCCTCTCGTAGCCGGGGGAGGGAGACGGACGGAAGGCCTGCACGGGCTCCACTAGCAGGGGCTATGGCGGCCGAGAAGGGAAGGAAAAGAAAAGGCTGTCAGTTTGCGAAGGAGGAAGGGGTTGAGAATACGTTGCGCCTGCGTGCTGTATACTCTTCTGCTGGCGGCGGGAAAGCAGCGTTGCTCTGGCTTTTTCCTGCAGCAAGTTATCTATAGCCGTGGTTGTTTGGAATGATATAGTCTCTAAACAAGAGGTGTCTCTGAAGGACCGTCTCCTAGATTCCCAGCAGTTGTTTCTTTATTGTTTTATTAAATTAATGAGTTTCTTTGCTGTCGGCGCTTTTGCCTTTGAGATGAAGGACCCCTGGTTGCAAAGGCGTTGAAGACGACGACGAGTTGTGATGATACTATACCCTTAATGTGGAGAGAAAATCACCCACCTCCCGCGCTCATCAGCTATAATACTGTATTTTTTTTTTTCATCAGAAAGATTCTAGAGCTATTTTACCCCAAGATTTGTGCTTAACCTTTTCCTTCAACTATCTTTAGAAAACATGCTACTTGATACAGCAGGAGCGCAGGGAAGAAAGACTTCAGAGATGGACAAAATAAGTAGGGCAGTGTAAAGGTGTTAGCTTCAATTTTTAGAGATGGAGTCATCTTTAGATGCAATGCAAGCTGACTTGCTAAGGATTTTAGCTTCTGTTTATTCATAAATAATAGTCTTGATGCCAGAACGTTTTTTATAAATTCTGCATGGTTTAACACCAGACTTGAAATTCTAGACCTAGAAAATCTAGAACTACGCCACCTTCGGTCCGATCTAAGTATAGTATATAAAATTATATATTGCAATGTCCTACCTGTCAATTTCAGTTTCAACCATAATAATACAAGAGCACACAATAGATACAAACTCAAGGTTAACCAAACCAAACTTGATTGTAGGAAATACGACTTCAGCAACAGAGTGGTCAGTGTCTGGAATACTCTACCTGACTCTGTGGTTTCTTCCCCAAACCCCAAAAACTTTAACCTTAGACTGTCTACTATTGACCCCTTTCCTAAGAGGTCTGTAGGGGGCGTGCATAAGCGCACCAACATGCCTACAGTCCTTGTCCTATTGTTTCTTTTTATTTTTCTTATATGTATTCATTTCATGTGTTCATAACTATGTTATACCTATTATCTTATAATCACTTGACAAATAAAACAAATAAATAAAATAGATAAAATTAAGAGCAAGCAATCTAAGAAACAGGTCTAGAAGGATGCCAAGACAGGTGGTATCAAATCTATATACTGTATATAAAAGTGAAATACCACTCACGCATCATCACAAAATCTCTAGAACCGTAAAGCCTACAAACTTGAAATTTGGCATGCATATTCCTGATGGCTTCTAGGTGCTCACTAAGAAAGGATTTTTTGAAATGACCATCAGAGCATTAGTATTTCGTATATTATTATTAACATGCTCTGATGCTAAGGAATTTTACTCCCCGTCCCCACCTGAAAAGAAATCTGTTCCATATGCAAAACAAAGGCAGAAGAGAGGAGTTTCAGTTTCAGAGCAGCAACCAGCTTTAGTACGGAACAGTTCAGCTAAGCCACGCCCAGGCTCCTTGCTGTCTCCTTGCTCACACAGCAAATACTGTTTTACTTTCCAAACAGCCCACAACTCTCTCACACACTGACAGGACACTAGCCAGATGAATACCGATGGATGCTGGTAGGCAGAGGCAGAATTTTTTCCTCCCCCAAAACTAAGCCCGACCACATAGTTCCATAGCGAAGCACGGGTATAGAGCTAGTAATAGAATAACAGAGTTGGGAGGGACCTTGGAGGTTTTCTAGTCCAACCCCCTGCTCAAGCAGGGAATCCAGTTTCAGACAATTCAATATCTTCTTAAAACCTCCAGTGTTGGAGCACCCACAACTTCTGGAAGCAAATTGTTCCACTGATTAATTGTTCTGTCAGGAAATTTATAGGTTGGTTCTCTCCTTGTTTAGTTTCCATCCATTGCTTCTTGTCCTGCCTTCGGGTGCTTTGGATAATAGCTTGACACCCACCCCCACCCCATCCTTTGGAGCAGCCCCTTAGATATTGGAACACTGCTATCATGTGTTGGAAGAAATATCCTTCTGGGTTTAGTTCCAAGTGGGGGGAAAGACACTGGATTCATGGAAGTTATTTGGAAAGGTTTAATGGTGGACAGGACCATATGCCTTGGAGCTCCTGAGCGAAAAGGGAAGAGATGCTGAGAGTCCCTTGATTTTATACCCTCTGTTGGGCCTCACCTTAATGTTCTTATTCCTGTGTAAGAAATATATCCCATTGGCTGTCATACTCCCAGGGGTGGGGGGGTCTTAGCTAACTTTGGAGACTTTTCTGGACCACGACTTCACCTGAGTGCTGGCTGATGCTATCTTCCCAGGCCATGTGGTGAGATGGGTAGAGGGCTTTGTTATGTGGAATACTCAGGCCCACCCATTAACAAAGGGGTGGATGGGGGTTGAGCTTCTGCTACAAGAACCAGCTGCAAAAATGAACTCTTGCATTACTTATAAAAGAAAAGTTTGTTCAACTGTGAACATATACAACTGCTGAAAATATTCAAAGTACAGTATGCATGATTCTTCCAAAGCCCTTAAAACAACACCCTGCTTTTCAAGAGCACCAAAAACTGGTAGCTGCATCCTCCATAATCTTATCCAATTACACTGCCAATAACTGTACCAATGATAGCTGACTACAGGTATTAGCAAATACCTCCCACTGTTTGACAGGAAATACATAAAGATTATAGTATAAGTTATCAAGCAACTTCTTTGCTTCCTACTTAGTTAAGCCCAGTCCCCATATAACTAATGGGTATCCATCTGTATCATTTAAAGTATGCAATTGTTCATACACAACACAAATATAACTTACCAATATAATTACTAAAAGACAGAAATGACAAATTTAAAAACTTTCAAATTGTAATGAAAAAGGAATGGCTTTAGGTATATTTAATTTTTAGTTTTAAAAAAGTGACAGGGAGAGATAATAATCCTTAAAAAGGCAGCAATTTCTGAACTGCCAAGATAATACTTTAAGATGACAGCAAAAGGAGTATTTCTCACACATTTGAACAACACAACAGTCACTTACTCTGAACATACAAGGGAATTGTATTGCTGTTTCCCTGCCAAGATATGTATAGGCCTAGTCCATCAGTATTAGCTGGAATAGATACAAAAGATGTTCTGAACTATTACTTAAGATCCTGAAATGTCAGATAATCTTGCATTACTGAGGTTATATTCTTAACTATTAAGTGTTACAGAACTAAAATCCTTCAGTTTTATAGGCTAAACCAAACTTTGAATTATGTCCAGAATATCATCATGGCAACACCATCAATTCCCAGTCAAGCCAAGGCAAGCCTATTATAATGAAAAGCTCATAACTCCCACTGTGGATCAGATGAGAAGGGTAAATATAGCACTTTGTATATCAGCAAATAAACATTTGTACAGTTTATTCTGTCTGTACTTCATGTTTTAAAATGTAGAAAAACTTTCTAAAAATGATGTGTATACTTGTTTTGGAAAAGCTAGCACAAAGGCTTTCAGAGACTATATTTTAAAAAAATCCGAAAGTATCTGAGCCTCCGAGGCACTGGAGATAATAGAACTTATCCAATCCTTTGAAACTAAAGAACCTATTAGTTTTTATACATATTTGTTATCAATAAATAAATTTGGCATGCAGATGTTAAAGAAATGAGCGGAATAAAGAACTTGAGGTTCCTATATTACGGAAGAGTGTTTTAACCTCTATAGCAAATGCACTATGTCAATGCAGCTCAAATTACAATTTACACAACAAAAATATTTAGAATATCCAGTATTTGATTCCATTATGTTCATATAGAAAAACTGTAAAAACAGCATTTTTTGGATATGTTTTTCTTTTAAAAAAATGTTTCTATACTTAATTTGGGGAGAAAATATTACATGATTATGTAACAAAAGCAAAAAATTTTGAAAATATAATATTCTTCTAAATTATATACCTAATAAATGGAATCTGACAATGAAACAATATAAATGGATTCTGTATCCTTATGACTAAAAGGTTGACATTGCAGCATTGGAAAGATAAAAGTATGGCTCCATTTACTGAATGGATTGAAGACCTGATTGCCCTTGCTACTTATGAGCATATGGCCTATACATGTAAATTTTGTATTGGCCAGTATAATGAATTATGGGACTCATTTATAAAAAATACAGATTAAAAAAGAGCTGTATAAATATATTAGAAAAATATACATACTTGAACATTTGCATTCAATTCGTATATATAAACGTGTAACTATTTTTGTATTTTTCTTTGTTGTATTTGTTTCACTTTTTGCTAAAACACACTTTGTGTTTTTCTTTTGACAATTTTTTATTAAAAAGCAAATAAAAAACCCATAAGAATGTGAACTAATGTACATATCTTTAATAGCTTAAAACAGCAAAATAAAAGTTTGAATGATTATACTGAGATAACCCAGAATTCTCATTTGGCACAAATGACAAGGGTCAAATTATCCTATTTTAAACACATCATGCCTTTGCTCAGCACTCTGGAAAAGGCTGTAATGTTGGGGGAAATGGTAGGAAAAAGAAGAGGATGATCATTTTAGGAACATATTGTGATGGAGAAAATCTATGTAGAAGATAGCAGTTGACACTGATGGAACATAATATCAAATGACTTTCTTGTGGTAGTAGAACCAAAGATAAACTATATAGAATGAAGGTATTTTCCATTTTAAAAGTATTCATAGATTCTATAATTCCACAAAAGAGTATTTATTGTGAATAAGAGCTGCTGACCACTTTTATTTGAGTGTCAAGATTCACAGTTTGAGATAATGTACTTTCCTGGAATTAGAAAAAGCAAACGTTCAAAAATGTATTACAGGCAGGTGTTGCATTTGTATTTCTTCATGTTTAGAAGCATCTTCTTCAACATGATT